CTAAAAACTAGTCATTTTTCAATTGATGGGAGGGGTATTTTGGTCATTATAAAGTCAATTATCACTTTATCTAAATTCCCCTCTAAAGTAGCTATTATATAGTTGTTAGAGAGGGCACTATTGTCATTTTATCTCCCTAAAGCCAAAATACATAAATACCCCCTATATAGTTGCTTATAAACCTATTCATGGGCCAGGTAGCCCGATGGCCCAACTCAACCTGGCCCGTTATTTTTGGGCTTAGACAAAACTTTAGGCTCGTAGGCTTGGGCTTTAAATACCAGACCCGGTCATTTTTTGGGTCGGGCTTGGACTTTCACAAATAAGCTCGGCCCAAGCCTGAGCCTGGCCCGACACTACTATATATAATAAAAAAGCATTTGTGTTATATATAATAAATATATAATATATACTTGTTTATTAAATTATTAATAAGAAATATAAATTAGTTTATTAATTTATTAAATTATTACTAAATTAATATAATATTGATTTATAAAAATACACTAAAAATAAGACATTTTATATATAGGTCCGGCTTTGGGCTTAGGCTCAAGCTACACATTTTCTATTGATAAAGAAGCAAAAACCGGCCCAAACCCAACCTGGCCCATGAACAGATCTCGGGTCTAACTGCTTATTAACTGGCCATTGGGGGGTCTCCAAGACTCCAACGGCAAGTTCTTTTGCGGGCCACGCTCGACCCACTACGGGCGGCGCACCTCCTTACCCCTAAGGAGACTTGAATGCGGATCCTTTTATTTATTTATTTTTGTGGTAATTAGAGAATCAGGTTTGAGGATTTGTTAGGATCATAGGATGCACTACACCATTTATATTATTACTTTCCTTCCTGTTGTACCTCGAAAAAGTAAGAAACGTGAATGATAAAATCCTGGGCCGCGGAAGACAAGTGTAAAAAGATGTCAAATATTAGTAGGGCTGTTGATAAGAAGGCCCAATCCGACCAAATCGATTAATTTGGACTAATTCAACCTGAGTCGGTCGAGTTTATATCAGTATCGGTCGGTTTCGGGTTGTACAAATTCATAAACCGATGGTTCGGGTCGGTTTCAGTTTTCTTGTGTGAAAATCGAAACCGATCCGAACTGAACCGACTTAGTTCCTATTTAACTAAAAACTGAAATATCTGAAAATATATATTCCAATATATTTGTATGTATATTTTTGTTAATATATATATATATATATATATATATATATATTTCTAAAATACATATTTTAATTTTAAATATATTTCCAGAAAACTAGGTGGCCATGGGGGGCATGGATGAACTTAGAGCCAAAACCGACCCAAACCGACCCAACCCGACTCAAACCGACCAAGTCGGTTTTGCTTAACACTGGGTCGGTTTCGGTTTCCATCTCAGGTAACCCGACTAGATCAGATCGGTTGGAAAAGCCTCAGTAAACCGACCCAACCCGACTCGTGAACAGCCCTAAATATTAGATCTGTACAAGTCCATATAATTCCCAAGAACGTACCATATGGAACAACATGGTATGAGTTTGGCATCGATGCCGTTGCTTCGGAGATGTTTTATGAGAAAACAGTATTGTATGATGCTGCCACATAAACTGTTGAACAATGTGTTGTATGCATGAGGGTTTGTTGTACAATTTTCTTAAAAAATGGTTCCTTTTTTTTTGTTTAGTATTTGACGTTTCTTCAGACCACACTCTCCCGATTTCTAAGACATAATTTTTCAAAAAATGACATCAATGCCAAACACCACCATGGATAATGGCCTTTAGGCTAATAAATAGAAGGAATATTTGCTGCATATTTTTTTCCCTATTTCAATCTAATGTAGTGGAGATGATGGAATATATTACATACATGATGCATGCCTCCTCCCCGCTTTGAATATACAAACTTTTTTTTTTTGGTATTTAACGCACACATAACTCTTGAAGGTAGATGGTAATAGCAAGACTCGGTTCTGCATATCCACTGGGACTACCCAGCTAACATGCCAATTGAGCCACCACTCGATTCTGAATATACAAACCTTACCATACACATAAAGACTTTCTTCAACCCCAATTTTTCCCATCTATTAAACGACTCCACTAGCTATATATTTTTGTGTGTGCATGTGTGTGTTGGGCTTGATTTGAGGCAAATGCAACTATAGGCCTCATAGTCCTCCGGTATATTTAGGTATTGGGCTTCAATTAAGAATTAAAGAATCGGTATCGGGTGTCGTATCGGACAGATATAATTACAAATACGTTTTTTAAACTCATGGATGCGGATAAAAAATATGAAAACATTAAAAAAATGCATACAAATTCTATAAATATTTTGATAGCAGTAAATTTATTGTCAAAATAACTATAAATAATGTATAAATACATAGGAATTGTATATTTAAATGATATATATGAAGAAATATATCATAACTAATATAGTAGGACACATAGACATTATACAATTTTATTAATAATGCATCAATCAAGAGTCCAATGCACATATTATATAGATTTTGACAAATTAATACATGTAAAAATCCAATATTATTTTGTTATATATCTATTAAAGTACAAAGCATAAAACATTTGCAACTATTATATTTGAATTATTATAACAAATTTTCTATTTTCCTATTTTTTTATTTTTAACATTAACAAAAAAAATCAATTCTCAAATGTTTGGTAAACAATATTTTTATTTTTATAAACAATAAATATGTTATTTTAAAATGTAAATTAATAATTTATAAAAAACTATATAATCTTAACTTAAAATATATTAATTGATTAAAATTTTGAAGATGCTTATCATATGAAAATTCATAAATTTTAATTACTAAAATAATTATTCCATTATTAGTTTTTTTTTTATTTTTATAAATTTTGAAAATCAAAATTCATTTTTTTAATGTGTATGTGTGTGTGGATTTTCTAAATTATTTATTCTATTGATTTATAAAATACTAATTTTTAATACTATTTCTTTTAATTTGTAGTTAAAGTTATTAAAAATAAATGTATATTGTTTTTTTTGTTGCATGTAGACATTAATGTTAATAAAAATAAATTTATTACCATTGTTGACATGAAATAAGAAGTAGCTTGGTAGTTAAAGAGACATAAGCATGTAAGCATTGAATACTGACTTCAGATCTCCTGTCCACAAGAACTCTGCCCACACCTACCCACAATACACTATCCCCCATGAATTGGGAACATCTCTCCCGGCATAATATTATAGGGAGGATGAGATGTTCTCCATGTGTGATTACGATAAACATAAAGAAGAGATCCAGACTCTTGAATAATAGGGTTCAAATCATGACACCTTTTTTTATATTGAGTCACTATGTCATATTGTTGTAAATCTAGGACCGATATGCTGTTATATTTGTCTGGCCCCGTAATATATTATACCAATATTTTAATTCTTGACTTCAACAATCTCGGTCCTATATAAATTTATCAAAATCTTCATAATAAAGTTTGTGGACCTCACGTGCACACTGTTTATTCCTAATCCTTAACCCCAACCCCCTCTAATGTGTAGTATGTAAATAAGAGAGAAAAAAAATGCATGTGTGATTAGGGAGGGGGTCACTGCTCAGCGTGAACTATACATTTGTGAGGTGTTGGGTTAGCCGCACTTAAATGAATTGTTAGGGGTTCTTTGACCACTACAATGTTCAATGGCAAGCATGCATTAGAAATGAGAGATTGGAGTGGTCGTGGGCCATATACACTTGATGGCTGACGTGGGGTATTATTATTGGCTAAACAAGCCTTGACACAGCCATCAAGTGTTATTTGGTGGCGTATAATAGCTTGGTGTGAGTCCACGTGCCACCCACTAACTTGTATTATTTGTGATAGAAAGGGGTATGGAATATGGATGGTGGGTGCAAAGTGCTTTGGAGCACCCACCAACTACAGTATATATATATATATATATATATATATATATATATAAACAAACTACTATGCTATGCTTGATTATAAGAAATCCGATCCTAATGCCCCGATCACCCCAATCACAATATGAAACTTGCTTTCAAAGTATTCATCTTCATCGATTGCAGACAACTGTCTTTGGTTCGGTGGTTGGCTCTCTTATCTTTTTCTTTTGTGATGAGACCTCTACACCCCGTCACCGTCCTCATCACTTTTCAGCTCTCTCTCTCTCTCCTGCTGCTGCTGCTGCTGCCATTCATAGTCCCCATAATACTTTCTTTCTCTCTCTCTTTCTCGCACTCGTACACGCAAAGTCGCACACAATCACGAAAAGTGGAAATTACAGTCAATGAAGGTAAGAGGAGAATGGGAAAGCGACGACGCCGACGAGTGGTGGCAGTGGGAATTCTGGCCAAACTCCACCACCTCACATTGACCACCCCTGATCATCATCCCGCTATGAAACAAAAAACCAACCAAATGAGACCCCTCGGTGTTGTTATTTGTCATTTTAGCGACACACTTGACAAACTTCCACGCGGGCCATGAATAGATTCTGTTTTCAAAATTAACTATTAAGCCCGTTGAGTTTTTGTTTAGTTGCAGTTAATTGCCAATAATTTCACGGTTCTATCCTCGAAATCCCTCCTCTAATTTCTAACAGATGAAGCAAATGCCTGTCAATCTGTTCGTCCCAAAGTGAGAATGTGGTTTTTTACGCCGATCTAATTTATATTGCACAATAAAAAAAAAAAAATTTGATCGATTCAAAACGCAAGACCCACACAGAAAGATTAATTTCAAGACTACTATATATAATTTCGTTATTTTAATTTTCAGAACACACAGAAGAGAGAAGCTACCAGAACTTGAAAATATACAATCAATCCCCTCCTTTTCAAATGAAACTTAAACGAGTAATTTTCATTTCTGACTACCCAAAGAAACGACGACTGAATTAAGATTAACGAAAGAGGGCCCAGAAAGAGAAACAGCAAGAAAAAAAAAGCACCCTCAAGAAGAAGAAGAAGAAGAAGAAGAAGAAGAAAGACTCACGAGTCTCTGCCACCCACCACGTCTACAGTGGAGGTACATGATAAGAGCCTGTGGAAGATAGACAATAACGCGGCGTAGGATACCTCCTTCACCCTCCTCATCACCAAGCACTTCCTTCCGCCACCGCCACTGTCAACCTTTCTTTTCCTCCTGTAAACCACCCTCTCTTTAACTCTGCCGAAGCACTTCTTCGTCTTCTCGGGCATGGTTTCCTTCCTTGAAAATGTGTAGCTCCTCAGGTACATCTGCCTACACGAAATGCTATCCACCACTCTCGGTTGCCCGCCCCTGCAGACGTTAGAGCTCACCGACTTCACGAACTCGGCGTCAGATTCCGGCCACTTGTACAAATTCATGTATGTTGCCCTCACCGGAGCACGGGCATCATTGACGCAGCTCCCAATGCAAACAGAACTCATTTTCTCTTATTTCTTTTTCCTCCACCTAGACCTAGTGGGAGTAATCTATGTAATGGGTTCCTCCCTATAAACCTGAACAAGGCTTAGATTGCAAGACAAGACATCGACGATTGCAAGACAGACATCGACGCTTTGCACAGAGAGGGAGAGAGAGAGAGAGAGGGATCTCTAAATTTTCAGTGCGTTTTTGCTATTTAATGTGTTTGGATTTGGTTATTCACTTATTTGTGTATAGTTGGCTGTGTAGCATGGACTCATATGGAATGATTTATCATCATTAGTAATGAGTAAAGACCGTTTCTTTCCATCCTTTTGTGCTGTTAGCCAAGACTAAAAGCTGAAATATGGAGGAGTCAATAAAATATTGGGTAATTGACGAACATAACCCTAAATATAATTGATATTCACCTACATGTGTTGGGTCTGTATACGGACTTTAACTGACCCGATTGACTGGTATAAAGGATAAAGTAAATACAATTGAATCAAGTACCCGTCTGGTATGGATCTCATGCCTTTTTATGCTGTAAGAGGGATAGGATAGGAAATTTGGGCCAAAGACCAGTTCCATCGTTACGGGTTGAACCTAATTCCATGGGCTGATTGAAGATTGATTTCCGTTTTTTTTTCGCTATACTGGAAATAATTAAAATTATTAAATGACATGAAATGAAAATGGGTTTACGTATCGGACACATGGACAGAGAAACATTGAGATAATCGCGGGTACCAAGTGTGGGTGGTTAATCCAGTGACTCCTCTCGTCTCGTATATATGGCACTAGATTTTAAGGCTGTGTTTGGTTACAATGCAAATAAATATGTATTTATGCAAAATTGTGGCAGTACAAATGATTTTAGCGTAAATTTTGGCTTATTCTTGTTTTATAATTTAACTTAGTTTGTTTGATTGCATTACAAATGAAATAATTTAAGAAATGAAACTGAATAAAATAAAATTTAAAACAAAATTATACAAGAATTCATTTTTTCATTTGCACTTTCATGCATTTATATCAGTATAATAAAATTGCACTACAACCAAACACATCCTAAGAAAATTGGATCCATTTAGCTGTATATTCAACGTGGCTGCAAACGGATTGGATCCAATCGAATATTATCATATATTCGGATTTGGATGGAATTTATCCATCCCATTCAAAATTAATGGATTTGGAATTTTGGAAATTTCAATACTATTAGTAAATTTTAATAATGAATATGCACAATCTGGATGCTCCTAGCTATAGGGCAGTTCGGACGTCTGTTGACAACTAGGTCGCTCGAACTGCAAAGAAAAAGATGATCAGAGAACCCGGGATGGCTAACCCGGTGAGGTCGCTCCAATACTTAAGTCAGTAACCGTGATATGTGAGTTGAGAGTTAAGAAATAAGAAACCTAGAATGCACTTAATCGCGCGTACTTGGGTCTTGGGGGTCGATGCCCTTATATAGTTGAGCTGTCGTGGGTCTCACGAAATGGCTTTGAGATCCTTGGCCCGCGTAGATGGAATCCGTTCCGCTTTAGAGGGAGATTGAAAGAATGGTAGGATCCATATAATGGACGCCATAAAGGTTGCAGAATGGGTGGGCGAATTTCAAAAATTCTCCTACCTTCTCCCAACTGGGAATCATATTCCCTAAATTTAGAATACAATATTCAAGGATCCTACTTAAACCATAATCAAACCAGATCTGAACCAAAAGATAAAAGGGAGGAATATACCTGATCCGGAGAAGCAGTATCTCCCAAAGTTGGTGTTCACGCCCAAAGAATGCACCAAGATCCGTTCCTGCTGAAGATGACACAACTATGGAT